TTTATTGTAGAGATGAGGTCTCACTGCCCAGGCGGGTCTCGAACCCGTGGGCTCAGGCAATCCACTCACCTCTGCCTCCCAAAGGTGCGGAATTACAGGCTGAGCCACCGAGCCCGGCTAGGGCATTTTATTATTATTATTTAGTTGGAGTCTCTTTCGCCTAGGCTGGAGTGCAGTGGCACACTCACGGCGTCAACCTGCTGGGATCCGGCGATCCTTCCACCTCGGCCTTCTAAGCAGCTGGAACTATAGGCGCACATACTACCATGCCGGGCTAATTTTTGATTTATTATAGAAACGAGGTCTCACCAAGTTGCCTGGGCTGGTCTGGAACCTGTGGGCTCCCAAAGTGCTGGGATTACAGGCTGAGCCACTGAGCCCAGCCTAAGAAAGGCTATTTTAAAACAATGTAACACTATTACTACTATAAAACACTTCTGCTGCTGTAAGAAATAATAACATAATAGTTAAGACTACAGAATGTGGAGCCAGATTGTTTGGACTACAATTCTGACTCTTTCAGGGTAAATTATAATGTATAAAAATGTAGATAACACTTACCTCTTAAGGCTGGACTGTGTATATTAATTCACTTAATTATGACATAAAGCAATTAAAACAGTATCTGGCACATACACATGCACAATTCATCTTCTTATTGTCATCATAATTATTTTTTTACATCAGTATCAAACATCTTTTGTATTAGCTGCACCTTATTTTGTTTTTTACAGTGTTGGTCTACGACTGCCTGGTCAATATCATAGCATAATGCCATCACTAATCACATATGGCTATTGAGTACTTAAGACTGTTATAAGCATTAACCATGTGGGTTTCTGAAGTTCTTTCTCTGAATACTGTTTGACCCTTCCAAATCTGATGTTGAAGTTTGGGACCCAGTATTACAGGTGGGGCACAATGGGAGGTGTATGGGTCATGGGGTCAGATCCCACTTAAATGGCTTGGTGCTAACCTTGCAGTAATGAGTAAGTTCTTTATTGTTCCCAAGACAGCTGATTGTTAAGCACTTGGCACCGCTTCCTACCTTGCCTCTCCTCTTGCCATGTAATTTCTGCACTTGTGGGCTCCCTTTGCCTTCTGCCATGAGTGGAGGCAGCCTAAAACCCTCACCAGAGGCAAATGCTGCTTGTACAGCCTGCAGAATCACGAGCCAAAAAAAGCTCATATACCTATAAATTATCCAGCCTCAGGTATTTCACAGAAACACAAATGGACTGAAACACATACAGAAGTGAATTAGACTTCTTGGCAATCCTTAAAAATTCTGAAGAAAAATTACTTGTATTTATAATCTGAGTGATCTCTCACAGAAACAAAGAGCTGAGTATCACATGTTCTCACTCATAAGTGGACCTTGAACAACTACCGAAATACTATAAGGATTAACAGTAGCGGAAAACTGCGGCCTTGGGGTGGTGGTGGAACATTTAGTCAGTTTCTTCCTCATAGTACATCTTTAATTCACCCCTTTCTGTCTATTTCCATAACAATCACCCACCACCAGCCTTGGTTCTTCTACCAACAGACTCTGCCTCCTGACCCTTTAAGATTCATCTGGAAACACTGCTCAAAGAAACTCTGCCTGATCTGCAATCCAGTACCAGACAGAGACAGCAGCCTTCTTTCTTGGGCTCCCTGGATCTGCTGCACAAACTTCTGTTGTAATAATTGCCTTGCTATATTTTGGTGTTGTGTTTCTGTCTGTCTTCCCCCACTCAATTATAAATTTCTAGATTCTAAGAATCCTGTTTAGATCATCTTTGTATTCTTCGGCTAATAATAGATGCTTAATTCAGTTTTCATATACGGATGAAAGGATGGATGGGTGGATGGATGGATGGATGGAC